AAGTTTCTTTGTGAAGGCTACATAAAGAAAACCTGTCTCCAAAAATAAAACAAAACAAAGAAGAAAAAAAGAAAATGTTCCTGTTGTCACAAATGTTTGTTAGAATATAGATGCAGCTTCCCATTAAGAAATCTTCCTCAAACAGACACTGAGAAAGTGCAAATGTGTTAATATACTCGAGGCAATTAAACCTCCCTAATGTGCTCAGTACAGCACTGTTCTGACTAAACATATCACTTCATTCAGCTAAGCAGTTGGCTTTATTTTCCCCTTAGTAACAATTGCATAACCGTCTTTCTATCGCACCTCACACGGGTTCCTCTTTCCTGTATACAGTTTGTGCCTCCCTGGTATTCATTATGACAACAACAGCAGCCATGGTAGCAAACAGAGAATTAAACTGAAATCTCCAGGAAGGTTTTGCTTTTGAACAATTTCTTTGCAATTTTGCCGTTGGCTGCTTTCATCTTTATGTGTGACCTCTGTAGCTCTGCACGTAAGGAAGATTGCTTGGAACTGGAAAATGTGTTTCAATCAGCAAAGTGCTTGACACATAGACCTCAGACATGAGGATTCCAGTTTATATTCCTAGCACCCATGTAAAAGCTAAGCAGGATGGCGGTGGTCTGCAATCCCAGCTCTGGGGGTAGTGAGCAGAAGGAGGAGGAAGGGGGTCAAAATTTTCAAGATTACCTGGCAGCCAGTCAAGACAATCAATGAATTTTATTTTTTAATTAATCTATTTATCCACTTTACATCCTGATTGCAGCCCCCCCTTCCCAGTCTACCCCTTGCACACTCTGCCTGCCCTCCATTCTCCCCTCTCCTCTTCAGAGAAGAGGGGAGATCCCTCATGGGCATCAACTCACCCTGGCACATTAAGTCTCTGCAGGATTAGGCTCATCGTCTTCCACTGAGGCCAGATAAGGCAGTCCAGTTAGGGCAATGGCATCCAAAGGGAGTCATCAGAGTCAGAGAGCCATCCTCCCTACTACAGTTGTTGGGGGAAATCCACATGAAGAACAATGAGTTTTTGATTCAGTGAAAGACCTGTCTCAAATACGAAGGACAGAGAGACTGAGGAAGACTGTTGACCTTTGCTGTTGACATTTAGACATTGCTCCGAGCACATGTGCAGATGCATATGAACAATTATGCACATATATTCAACACACACATACTTACTCTCTCTCCCTCACACACACACACACATACAGAGAGAGAGAGAGAGAGGAGGTTAAGTCTTGGAAATACCATTTTTTCATAAAAGTAGGGAAAAAAAACTAGGTGAAAGTAGATTTGTGGATTTGAGAAAAAAATAAACGCACATTTTTATTTGTTTGTATTTGACAAATGTAAGTAGTCTATTGACCTTTATATAATAGTATTTCCCAGCACTTGATTTTCCTTTTGATTTGTAACTGAAAGACAATGAAAACAAGCAGATTACAGCATCAAGCCAAAGGACCTAAGAGGCTTAAGAGCTCAGTGCCAAGAGTAGGGAGGCTCTCTGCTGGGCACACCTAGGGCTTCTCCCGGGCCACATTCCTGCAGGATACTGACTCTTTCAGAAAAGGTAGCTCCTCAGTGACAGCGTAGCCTGTCCATGCCCTCGGGGTATTGTTTGGTAAATAGTGAAAGATTGCCTCTGTAAGAAACATAGTAACAGCTTGCATCTTTCTCTCTCTGCAACTTTAGGGCTCTTTCACTTAAGGCAAGAGAGAATCCTAGTGTTACCCTCAAAGTCTGTAACTACACTCAGAAAACAGAAAGCAGTTCAATAAGTCATGGGATCATAGTGCTTGCACTGACGGGCTTAGGCCTTGAATTTCTGTGCTAAACAGGCTTTTTGTTTTGTGGCAGGAAGAGCTCAAGTTCCATCCTTTATTCTGGTGTAAATTCATCGCAATGTGTTTAAGGAGTAGATAGAGGATGGGGTTTTAAAATGTTCTTTATAACATTAAACAGTAATAAAAAGGCCTCCCAGCTTTTTCAGGCTGTATAAATGACTGATAAGAACGGAAGCAGAACTGATATACTTTAATCATCACCACAGTCAAGTAAGTACAAATTGACCAGAGAATGGCACGCAGGAGCAGGGCATACGAAACACCAGCTAAGGAGATATTAATTTATTAGATTAAGAAATGATAGAGGCCAGTAGACACAAGACAGTATGGGAAACCTCACTTAAAAATCAGAAAAAAAATTTGTCATGATAAGCATGACATGGCTAGATTCGCTAGTTTATACCAAAGCAAACAGCATTACTGAGGAAACCTGAAGTTTCAAACACACACACACACACACACACACACACACACACACACAAACACACACCAACAATTCCAGGGCAAAACCTAAAGTAATGCTCGCCTATGAACTCCAAGTATGTGTAATGGGAAAAAGAGTTGGAATATTGATCAGTAATGTAAGCAAATGAATGACAATCATCACAGTGCTAGTTACCCAGACCTTCAAGAATGCCTGCACTGTGTTTCTGTTCTTAGAAAACCAAAAACAACTTAGAGCAAACTCTGGCTTAGGAATAGAAGCAATACAACTAAACTAATAACACTGAACAGAAGATCGGGAACATGGCTAGCTCAAGCAGATAGTGGAGGAAGGAGCATATAGGAGGGTTCTGGACGCATGTACTCTACTTCTTGGCCTGGATTGGATTATTTATTTAAATCATTATTTAAAAATTCATATGTAATTTTTCTGTGCGCAGTTTCTATGGTGTAATAAAAATTAAAACATATTGAGAGCGACATATTACCTGTGATGAGATCACACCTGGTCCGTTATGCCGCCCTGGGCTTCGCTGTTGGGAAGGCAGTCCAGGTCGGCAGCGGTGAGCAGAGCAGGTTCACATTCGACGCGCCTCTTCATGGGCCATGACTGAGAATGACCCAGGATCCGCTTGTTATCATTCAAATCCCATTTGATTCCTCTAGCTTCCTTCCTTCCTTCGTCTACACTTGCTCTCCCTGGATCAAGGGTTAGCGGTCAGCAGTGAGGCGTTTTTAGTTTAAGTGAGTCCTGCCTGGCTACGTCCGTGGTGCTCAGGATTCTTGTTTTCATTCCAGTCATGCCCTCCTAAGGGACGAGCGCGTTTGTTTCAGTCAGACGCCTTCCACCTCAAGTGGTGCAGGCTGTGTTCCGTAGATAGCCGTGCAGAAAGACGTTCAAGGCTACGTTTTTTCGTTTTTTAATCATCTCCAAACACATTAGCAGAGAAATATCTGAAAAGTATTTTTGTCTGACTAATTAGGTGAGAAACCTCAGTGGAATGGTCCTATTTGCTGTATTTTAATGAAAACCCTTTAGTTTCTGGTCGAGAATCTTTTAAGAACTACCTTCTCTTTGGGACTTCCTGTTGAAGGTCGGGGGGGGGCATAGAAAAAACCTCTTTGCTTCATCATTTGAGAGTCTTCACTTTGGGTTTTAGGCAACTCGTATGTAAAGGTTATGATTTCTCAATTTGTTAGTTCATACTGTATGGAAGTCTTCATTGTAGGAAAAGAAAAATTTATTGCCGATGATTGCCTGGTGGCTTCCCCACCCCCGCCGGAATTATGTTACTGCGGCTTTTGTGAAGGGAAGTCACGTGGTGTGGATGTGCTTGGTGGGAACGGATTATTCCATATACACTCTCAGTTGGTGGGGAGTTTCTCTAATAAACGAAGCCATTTGTTTTTTATTTGTTTTCTTCATGACATTTAAATGTACTGTCGCCCAACATGGTGGCTTATCCGTGTAATCTCAGAATTTGGGAAACTGAGGCCGCAGGACCGTGATTTCCCTCAGCCTTGGCTGTATAGCAAGACCCTGTCTCAAATACATAAACAAATAAACAACTGTAAAACCCCAACATCATTCCAGAAACACACCCTATGAATCTATCTTTTTAACAGAACAGCTGCTTTTAAAGAAGGGGCTGGAGAGATGGCTCAGTGCTTAAGAGAACTGGTTGCTCTTCTGCAGGTCCTCAGTTCAGTTTCCAGTAGCTACATGGTGGCGCACAACCATCTATCGCTGTAGTTCCATGGGAACCATTGCCCTCTTCTGTTATGTTGATTTTAAAATTGTTTCTTGGCTCGTTGTGATCAGAGCGAGTTACTATAAATTACAGGAATGTCTTGAGTTTTGGACTCATTTTGCAATGGACTGTAATTATCAATGATAATTAAAATTATTGTTAAAAATCAGGCATCTAGCTGATTTTAAAAGGCAATAGTAATAGAATAATATTATGTAGGGTGACAAGTAGAGAAAAATATTATGTGTGATGACAAACAGAAAACAAAAAGAGCAGAGAGAACTCAAGGAAATTAACACATGGAAAACAGTAATTCCAGTCTGAGGCCAACTAGGGAGACAGGGACAGTTACCAAGAAAGGAGAAGGAAAGGGGCCCTTTCCTACCTCTCCCTCTTGCTATCAGAGAAGCATGAACTCTGGCACAATTAACAACTGCTTGAGAGCTTTCTCCCATCTCAACTATAAACATTCCATTTTCTGGGAACTTTACCAAAAACTAAATTTATAAGGAAAAGGCACCTATGAAACCCATCAATATATTATATACATAGCTAATGCTAGGACAATTAGTTGAGACTCTTTCTTGAGGGACCTATATCTACACTTGGGTTTGTCTTACTGAATCTCTTTCAGAGAGGCCCACATCCACCAGTATTCTCAAACTGGCTCAGTGATAGAAGCATATACTGCTAAGTTTTCTGAACTTTCATTTGGGATTTATGATTCCTTTGTCTCCACGAAGGATTGCTACCTCTAGGTAACACTACGAATATATTCTGTGCCCTATAATCAAACATGTGGCCCTGATTAGACAACAGAGGTTTGGGAGAAGACGCTCTTCCTGAAGACCTCACTGGTATTTAGTATAAAGACAGGCCTCACAGTTGCTCAGTTTAGGAACGTGCAGGGGATCCCTTTCTAGAACTCAAGCATCACGCTAGAAATACCAAAGACTATTAATACTGCAAACATTTTTGTACTCATGACTTGGCCCGAGCGTGGGGAGGGACTGGGAACATTTGCAGTGATGATGCCATGAAGGTTGGCAGTCTGAGACCTGGCAGTGATGTTTTCATCTTGGAGCTGCAGGCTGGTCCAGATAACACATTTGTATTTTTGTTCTCTGGAGCTCTAGTTTCTTCTAGTAAAAAAGAAAAAAAAAAAAAAAAAAAGAATTTGATTAACATGTAATAGATATACTGCAAAATTCATCTTTGAAAAAATACAGAATTTGGTGGTTTTAGTTTGTCATGGAACTGTAGAATTTTTTTTTTCTGTTGTTCAATTTTCAAACTTATTTTGGGGACTCTTTTGTCTTATTTTTTTCTTATACAGTAGAATTAGCTTACATTTTGCTTATCTTAAAAATATGCATGGATACCCTGAAACTGGCTCTGAGTAAAATCTCCTGAAACTTTGTATCTAAGAAGGTCTTACAAGCAGGTTCTCAATTCAATTTAGTGCCAGATCATGTCTTTATGATTCAGTGTTTAGAGAAAGCATGTTAGCCTGGCTTTGTTCCTCTGTAGTGTTTGTGTGTGTGTGTGTGTGTGTGTGTGTGTGTGTGTGTGTGTGTCATGTATTTGTATGGATTCATGTGTGTGCCTGTGTGTAGGAAGATGTGGAGCTGAGGTCAGCTATGTTTTTCAATCACTCTTCATCTGATTTTTTGACACAGGGCCTCTCCTTGCACCCAGAGCTCATGAATTTGGCTGGCTGACTGGCCAAGAAGCTCTAGGCATATGCCTAACTCCACCTACCCTCAGCCCTGGCTTTATAGATGCATACTGCCCCTCCCCCGGGCATTTACCTATTGAGCTATCCATCTCCTCAGCTCTTAACCGGGCTTTTAGAATGTAGAAGATGTTCTCTAGAGAAATATATCAGATTGAACACACTGAATGTGCCATGCTTGTCGCTTCAAGGGCAGTGAATATTTATAATTTCACAAATTATAAATATATAAAACTTGCATGAAATTCTCATGGATGACATTCCAGTTTCTCACTGGAATCAGAAAATTTGGAAGATGTTATAATATAGGCTCATTTACATAAAGCACCCCATTCTTTCACGAAACACTCAGATAAAATACTGAATTTCTTTGTGATTATATAACAACAACCATAGTATTCTCACTCCCCACCTGTATTCATTTACTCCGCCCCACATATTTATTAAGCACTACTACCTGCCAAGCCTGTGGACGGGAAAAGGCACAGCCTCAGTCTTCAGGGACATGTTTTTGCTTCGCTCTCCTTTAGCCTTCTTTAGTAATTCATTACTTAGAGCTTGGTGTTGTATTAACTTTCCGCTTTTGAGCAAACACTTGGATCAATTAACCCTCAGTCCCTGCTGCTTGATAGGTTAACTAAGTCCTTCACTGTTTCACAAACTCCATTTAAAGACACGAGTGTTTTCTTCTTTTTTTCCCCCAACTCACTAATTGTACACGATTTCCTGTCAATACATCAGCATTGTTGTGTTTCCATGTTGTTAGGGAACATAATTTGGTGTTTTCTTCTAAGTGCAATAACTACCTGCTTCATTTTTTGTTTAATGCAAGTGAGTCTTGACTTTACATTTTTTTTTGTTGTTTAGATTTATTCATTTCATTGTGTTTGTGTTTTGACTGCAAGTATGTTTGTGTACCACATTCATACTTGCTGTTGCCTTTGGAGGTCAGATGAAGGACTAGGATCCCCAGAAACCAGAGTTACAGATGTCCTTAAACCACCATGTGGGTGCTGAGAACCAAACTCAGGTCCTCTGCAAGAGTAACAAGTGCTCTTAACCACTGAGCTACCTCTCAAGCCCCCAGTTTTGATTCTTAAATATTACAAGCTGATGACAGCCCTGAATTGACACTCATGCCTACAGAATCCTGAAAAATTCAAACCTAATCTTTAAGATTTGTGGTAGTTTTAATGGGAATGGCTTCGTGGGCTCATATAGAAATGGTTGGGCCATCACTGGTAGAACTGTTTGGGAAGGATTAGAAGGTGTGGCCTCGTTGGAGGAGGTGTGCCATTGGAGGTGGGTACTGAGGTTTCAAAAACCCTCAGCCATTCCCAGTTGTCCCTCTCTCTCTGCCTTGTGGTTGTGTCTAAACATGTGTAGCTTTCAGCTCCAGCTCCAGTGTCATGCCTGTCTGCCTGCTGCCATGCGCTCTGCCATGATGGCCACAAACTCATCCTCTAAAACTGGAAGCAAGAGAAATCAAATGCTTTCTTTTATAAGTTACCTTGGTCATGATGTCTCTTTACAGCAACATCACTAGTAACTGGGTAGACTAAGCAATTTGTACATAATTCCATGACTTGATAAAGTCAGTGGATTTTGCCAGACCTGGATTGAACTGAAGTATACTCCTGGAATAAGGAGTCAGAGTGAAGAACCACCGTATCTTTTGGAAATTTTCTATGAGGTGCAGCGCCCACACAGAGGAAAAGAATGCTGGGAAATTTCTGTCTCACACTTATAGGAAAAAAGGAGACAGGAAGCAATATGCTACTAATCACATACCATGGTATGTATCTTTCCAGAACTGATAAAAAAAATAGAAGCTAGGTGTGTTCACCTTTACCCCATGTATTCATTTTAAGTGATGGAACAAATTCTACAGAAAAAAATAAATTTATTAAGAGTTGCTTGATCCTAAGTTAAAATTTCAAGGTTCAAGCTCAATGATTTAGAGTCTCAACATAATGCTCTTTTTGCTGGAGCTTTTTTTTTCTATTGTGTATGTGAAAGGGGTTACATTTATAGCTTTTCTATTTCTAAATCATGCTATTTTGAAGTCAAAGACCTCTTCCTTCAGCATTCTCTTCTGTTCCTAACCTGCTATGACTCTTTTGAAACTCCATTCAGCTGACTCAAATAGGGCCAGGTGACCTACGTTATGAGCCCTCGAATGTAAACGTGCATAAGAGTCAGCTAAAGCACAGGTTCTTGGGCCTTATGCTCCAATTTTTTTCACTCAATGGGTCTAACTTATGTGTGCGTCCAATTTTGTATGTCTAGAGCTGGGGAGATGACATAGTTGGTGCATTGCTTACTGTCCAAGCCTCGGCATCGGAGTTTAATCCCCATAAACCACATAAAGAGTGAGGCACTGTGGCACACGCTTGTTTTCCAAGCAGTGAGAAGGTGGATCCAGGGCTTCCTGGTTGGCCATCTTAGCTTACTTGGCTAGCTCCGAACACTTGTTAGAGACCCTGTCTCAAAGAACAAGGTGGACAGCTGCTGGAGAATATTTGATGTTATCTTCTGTATATAAGTGCACATGTGTCCCCCCCAAATACACACACACACACACACACACACACACACACACTACCATATTTCTAAGCAGATGTCTCCAGGAGCCTGAGTCCTACATGAAATTGGCTTACCAACACCTTGTTGAACAGGCTTTCTAATGGCTGTGTTTCTTTGTTCTCTCAACACTTCAGCTACTGAAACCCAGTCAATTAGCAGATATTCAGCCATCTAAACACTCAGTTGTCCTATACAGGCATCCAGCACTGGCTGCCACGTGGAGATCAGTGTGAGGATGACTACACATCTGCACAGATGGCCAGTGAGGCAGCCTGCAGTAAGAGAGGAGCAACTTAGCATGTCTGCTCAGGGCTTGCACCCAAGGCCCAGCCTGCCTCTTTTCTTTTTCAACAAAATAAAGTTAGGAATGCCAATGAAAATAAGACAGCCATAAAATGCTATGCTATGAGTGTCCCCACGTCTCCAGTCTTTAAAAAAGCAGAACTAACACATTTCTCTAGTAGTCAGAGTACTTAGGTGCAGCCATAGACTCCAGGCTAGGGGATATAAGTAGAAGATGAATGAATTAAGGTGTCCCTGAGCTCACAGAATTTTAGAGGACTTATAAGAACCCCAATCCCATGGAGAATTCTCTGAAGGGGTTGAAAGTTAGCTTTCCAGCCTGTATTCTATAGAAAGACATTACAGAAGGAGATTACATTGGTTGCAATATCTGCCATGATTCCATGATTGTCTTGAACAAATTGTGGTTTATTCTTTATTTTTCAAACTGGAAGCTGATAGGATATTAGTTCTTGGCTTTAAATATTCACACAGGCACTTTGACATAGTCAACTGACTCATAAAGTGAAAACTGTGAAAAATAAAATTCACCAGGATACTGTTGAAGGTATCTGACTTTGTGTTCTTGAGATCTGAGGATTTATGAAGATCTTCAACTTGAATATTCTAAAGGTAATCTGTTAAAAATGACGACAACTTATTTGTCATAACAATGATACTTATTCCTTTGCTCCTTGTGACCTCAGAGCTTTAACTTAAAGTACTGTGTTTTTAAGGTATTAGGAAATTTTGTAGAATTTTGAAAATGTTTGACTCTATATATTATTAACCCTGAGGATTCACTGTACTGCTAATTATTTTACAACATACATTAAGTTTAAGACACTATGGCTTTAGTAGTCAGCAAATCTGATGAATGAAGCCAGACATCTGAGTTTAAATCTATCTCTCTGTCAAAGAGCCCCAGAACCCTGCTGGCTAAGGAACACTGAATAGAATCTGAGGCTCAAGCATCTGGTGTGGGTCCCTCCTTTTTCTTCCAAGCAGCACTCCCTGGTGGCTGTGCCGTTGTGGGAAACATTGAAACTGTTAAAATGTGGGTTCACCACCCGTGGCTTAGAGAAAGTGAGAGATTGTTTCTCTCTAAGGTGATTGTCAAGAGCAAAGAAAATGAGAACAGGATGCTGACCTACTCCTATTTAACCATTTTTCCATCTGTGTCCTGTAGTTAGGTGGTTGCAGCTCATCCTCCCTGAACAGTGGGAATGAGGGAAGAGGAAGCAGAGGGCACACTCCTTCTAGTTCCAGGTAAAATCTAGAGGCCAAGCACATTGCTTCTTGTGCACAGGCTTAGTAACTACTTAGTCACAAGCCAGCATCTACTGTAATAGAAACCAAAAGTGACCATCTGTAGGCTGAATGTCTGGAACACACTGGAAGCTTGTGTGGAGAAGATACTGACTTATTGGAGGTTGAGAAGTTGGGAGGCACTATTTTCATGTTCATCTCTTGCTGAAAGTGAAGCTCCTGGGAAGGTTTGTGAAGTCTCTTCGATTTGCTTTTTGATCTGAAGAAAGAATGGCAGGGTCTTGGTTCCAAATGAGATGCCAGCTGTCATCTAACTCAACTGGTACCTGCAAGCCATGTCTAAAATGCCCGTCTTTTATATAACCCCGATTATACTTACAAAAACCAAGTAGTTGCACACTCATAGAATTATTAGAGAGAACTTAATAGAGAGTCCAGGGAGCCTGGTAAATTTAATTTTATTTATATTGCTCCTGGGTAAATTGTTCAGAGCCTGGTGTGGATCATGCTATGGTTAGAGAAGAAACATTGGTGTTTATAAAAAATAATAAATCAATAAATTTTTTGAGTACTATTGCACACTGTATGATAACAGAGCTTGTATATTGATTTATAGAGACCTCTTTTACTTCCTGAAGTAGGGGAGTCTCATTAGGACATAGAGCATGTTATATATATTTGACCCATCTTCCAAATTAATGAAAAATATATTGAAGTGGAGCTTAAATGGTTTGACCTAATCTTGGTTAGCTACCATCTATATGATTCTTAGAAAAATAATTTTATTTCTATTGGACTGGAGGTATGTTTTGAAATAAGCAATTGACTTAGATAGTAAACTTTCCAACCATTGGTTTAAATAGTACAGGCTCCAACCAATCAAAACCAATGCCGTTCTTGAAAAATTTAACCAAAGGAACTGGAATATCCTGGATGAATCTCCCTATAAGTGTCTCTTATAAACGAATTGTGCACAGTGAAATGTTGCATTAGCCTGCATTGTTTATATGCACCCTCGCTAGTCTCTATTTACAGGAAGCTTCCAGCTGTTAATGGCACAGTGTTCTTAGAACTTGAGTTTCAAATAAATATCAGAAAAAGTAACCATTCTCTGTAATGCAGTTCTTGAACAAAGAACAAGTATTGTCAGTTTAGGAAACTTGTGTTTCCTCAGGTTTGTCTGAAAAATAAATCATAAAATAATGAAGAGACTCGTTGCTAAAATGGCAAGCAATCCATTTGGCTACAAAAGAGGCCATTTCTGGGGCTGTGTTCAAAAGCTTGTCACATTTCATTACATTTCTAAAGATTTCAGCATTGAAGAGAGGACAATTGTATGCCTGTAGGTGAGCCTGAATGCTATCCTTAGTGAGGTCTGGAGATAAAGG